GAAGACTGGAGTAATGATGCTGAAAATTCAGCTTTGCAATCACAGGAATGAATTACATTTTAAAATATATTCATATAGGAAACGGCTGTATTTTTGATAATAAATAAAGCTTTGGTGAGCCTAAAAAGACTTTGCTTACAAAAGCATTAAAAAAAAAAATCTTACTGACATCAGACTTTTGAACGGTAGTGTAAATTGCCTTAAAATAGTGTTTGAGACATAACACTTTATGCAGTGATAAATGTTTTAAACATAAGTACTGTAGACTAGATGACCTGCTTAAATGGCATGTGTAATTCAGCAAGTTGCAGCTGCAGGTATTTTGATCAAATAATGAGGATTTAAAAAACATCATGGCTGATTTTACTTCTGGTTCAGTTGTTAGATACTGGTTCATTGGTCAAGTTGAGAGTATTGCGTTGTTGGACAAAGTGTGCTCTGGTTCTCCACCTTTTTCCTATGCCCTATGATGCTTTGCGTGAATTATGGGAGTATTTTTCATTAAAAAAAAAAAATCAGCGAAAGGTTCACTGTAGTGTTGTCACGGTACCAACATTTCAGTATTCGGTACCAACCAGGTTGACCGGGTACTCGGTACCACCGGTACTTAAAAAAACCTGGTACCGTAACGTTTATATTTTTTTAGTACCGACTTGGTACCGAAATACCGGGTCTTTTGACAACACTAGTTCACTGTATAAAGCAAAAATAATAATAATTTTCCAAAAACTAGGTACAATGAGGTGACATTGTACTTACCCTTCAACCATTCGACATTAAAAGGAAATTTAAAAATGTAAAAGCATTAACAAATTACTTTGTGAATAACCCCTAAAGCTCGAATCTATCTGCAACAAAATTACGGATGTGTTAAATATCACCTTAGTAATAAATGTCTGTATTATGTAGCATATGTAACAATTACATTTTTAAAGCATCCTTGCAAAAACAAACCTGGGAAATGACATAAGGATTTGGGGGAAAAAATGAGAGATTCTTAGTCAATTCCATCGGGAGAGCAGGCTGCACTGTGTTTGTTGTCTTTTTTCATATAGTTACAGCAGAATATAAAGGAAAATAGAAAGTAATCAGGAGGAAAAGAATGCAGTGGACTGAAAAGATCTCTTGCCGTAGATATTCTTGTTATACCATGTCACATTAAAATTTGAAGTGGCACATTATTCTCCAGATGTCTGAAAATAGAACTTGAAGGAAAATTTACAGCTCATTCAGTCAAACCAACAGATGCGGATTATCTGTAGTGCAACCTTATGATTTAAAATGATTGTTTTATTCTTTTTGAGTGGAACTTCCCCAAACCGGAAGTGCCTCCTATAATTTAAAATGCTATAGACTCGTTAGGAAAAAGGTGGATAATCCACATATTGGCAAATGTATGCAAGTTGCATGCATACTGTGCACCGTACACATACTGCAGAAATGGTAGAAGTAGTGTGATCGTGTGCTTTCCTGCTTTAGTACTATATGTATCTGAGTCCAAAGCTCTTCACGTTCCAGTCTTCTGGTTAATGCTTGTCAGACGTCTTACATGCATATCTGAGAAAAACACTGTGAAAGTTTGCTGACACTATTGCCTTGAGCCAGGGATCAATCTGCTGAGATTGTGCTGACGTGTACCTTGAGCCCGTATGAACAAGTCAGTGGTTGACTGGTGTTGGGGTTGCTATGGTAACTGGATGGGCTTTGTATAACAGTTCATATTCTCAGACTTAGATTGAATGTTAAAATGCTTGGTGTACTTTATAATAGGTTATTCAAATCATGAGGTAGTGTTCAGGATTGTAGCCAACATGAGCAAAGTTATGTAAAGGGTTTTACATCACAAATGTGAAATATTATGTTACTTACTTCATCTTGACTGTGATTTATTTTGGCAGATTAACTGGGCTCAGTGCTTTTGTTATTAAGATCAGTATGACCTTCTTTGGGCTAAATAGGATGAGATTATTCCCACAGAGCTGTGTGCACATTTTTACCTTTCTTAGTCTGAGGAAAAACAGCTCCCTTAAACATTAGGACTATCTGAGTATAAGGATGTTTCTTTTACTAGCTTTTAAAAGTACCATGGCCGTTTCTCAATATTCATTCTTAAGCGATCTTGCGTCCTTGTGTTCTCACTCTACGTCATCATTAAACGTCAAAGTTCAATTCCAGTACTTAAGAACGCAAGTACAGAGAATGCATGAAAGTGCCTGGATGTGTTCTTTATATCGAGGATGCATCGGATGTAGTGGTCGACCGATATTTGGCTTTTTTTTTTTTAAATATCGGCATCGGCCGATACGTTTTCCTGTTTGGCCGATGCGTTCGAGGCGTGACTTTTATTTTGACGTTGCTGAGAATGGCAGCGCCTGGGCACACAGTGTTCACATTCTCCCTCTTGTTCGCTGTTGTCGTTAACAGTTCTGTCTAAATACTGATAGAAGTCTGTCTAATAATCAGATAGAACGGTTAAACAAAGGAATTAAAATGTATACAAAAAGTATTATAACGATTGCTTTTATATTACTAGTAATAGAAAGGCAAACATTATAATACTTTCTTGTTTGCCGTCAGCATTTATATATTTAAACAAATCTTTGAATGTCTAATAAACATCCAATTTCAAAAACCTTGCAAACTTAGTCGGATCCAGCTGTGAGATCTTGTGAAGTGTGCATGTGTATCCTGCATGACCGCGTGTTCTCTGCGTGACGGTCGATCCGTGCGAATTGAATGCTGACAGGAGGAGAGTTCAGCATCACTGGAGACGCGCGATCGACAAACTTTAAACTCGTGATTTTAAATTATGCTGCGCTTTATGCATTTGCCCACTGTCATATTCATGTAATTTTCACTGTGTGCTTTAAAATGTAAAATGAGTGTTATGAGTGTTAGTATTTGAAAAAATATGATTAATGCACACGAACTTCCTATAATACTGAGTGCCCTGTTGGTTACAGTGTTTACTACCTTTTTAATTATATTTTTATTAAATATTTACTTATTTGTGAAAAATACTTTGTCATCTAAATTATAAGTATGTTTATTTAACACATGTATTTCTTTAATCAATTTTCAAATGATTTTAAATTTGTTAAATATTAATTAAAATAAATAAAATTATATCGCTTTATATCGGCCATCGGCCACCCTGCTTTCCAAGATATCGGCATCAGCATCGGCTGTCTAAAAAACCAATATCGGTAGACTACTAATCGAATGCAGACTTGAGAGAATCAAACTGTTAAAAATCCCAGAAGACGCTGTGGGCGGTCGACGTACGGAAGCCTTTAAGCTCCTTAAAATGTGCTGGGACTATCATCAGTTCAGCAGCAATATCACAGCACATCTCAATTCTCACAAAGATGCATTCTGTTTTCTCGCGTCCTTCTGAGTTCGTTCTTCAAGGTAGCCTGCAAGGCCAGTTTCCACGAGAACACAAGTCCGTTCTTGGAATTGAAAAACAGCCCATATTTTCAGTGTCCTGTTAAAACATGATGAAAGACAATCTGGGTCATATTTCATTCCAAAAAAGCTTTTTATATTTTTTCCATTTGTACATAGTTATTATAACTGTTAATAATAATAATAATAATAATAATAATAAATGTTTTATTTAAAGTATTTATTTAATTACAACATATGCTACTTGTGATGATTACATTTTTAGTGTAACAATACTACGTTTACAAATGTACTACGTTTTTTTTTATCAAATTTATTTGTGAAGGTTGTTTTTTAAAAAGTTTATTAAAATGTAAAATTTTCTTGTTATGCTGCATTTAATACAGTAGTGTGACTTCTCTTTCTCTGTTGTGTGGCACAGAGTTCCCACATCCCCATGATTGATGCTTTGATGATGGCCTACACTGTGGAGATGATCAGCATTGAGAAGATTGTGACCTGCGTGAAGCGTTTCTCCACGTTCAGTGCCTCCAAGGAGCTCCCCTTTGACCTTGAGGATGCTATGGTCTTCTGGATCAACAAGGTGTGTGTGTTTTGAAGGGTGTGGGCTTTAGTCAAGTCATGTTTGTATTAGAATTAGGGATGCACAATATTACCGGAACGGGCCGATAATGGCTTAAAATTAAAATATCGGCATCTGCCCGATATGAAAAATTATGCGATATGCTTTGCCGATAAGATGAATAACTCGCATGTGCTCAGGGTGTGACTTAACTTAAAGGGTTAGTTCACCCAAAAATGAAAATTAGCTTGTGTTTTACTCGCCATCGAGGCATCCTAGGTGTATATGACTTTCTTCTTACAGACGAATCCAGTCGGAGTTATATTAAAAATTGTCCTGGCTATTCCAAGCTCTATCATTGCAGTCAGCGGGTGTTGCAGTTGAACAGTCCACAAGTTGTCAAATAAAGCACGCGCATCCATAATAAAACGTGCAGCAGACGGCTCCGGGGGGGTGAATAAAGGCCTCCTGTAGCGAATCCATGTGTTTTTGTAAGAAAAATATCCATATTTCAAACGTAATAAACACTTTTCTCTCACTTCCGTTATCTGTCATACGCGGAAGCCGTTCCGGCAACACCCGCTGACTGCAATGATAAAGCTTAGAATAGCCAGGACAATTTTTAATATAACTCCGACTGGATTCATCTGAAAGAAGAAAGTCATATACACCTAGGATGCTTCGAGGGTAGTAAAACAGTCAAATTTTCATTTTTGGGTGAACTAACCCTTTAAATACAAGGAGCTCTAAAAGATTTTCAGAATTTGTACAACTCTTTTGATTTAGACCATCTACAAATGTTAAATATTCAAATAAAATGTTAAGGTTACCAATGCATCTGTCTGTAAAAAAAAAAAGTGATTGATTTATAGTTGATTTATAGTTATTTTTCAAAGCTTTCAGTGTACTCTAAATTTAAAAGAACTTCATTGTTATTTATTTAATTCTCACAAGTAAGTTTTTGTTAAAAACAATAACCAAAATGACAAATAATTTGTTTATAATCTCTGCACAGGAGAGACTTGGTGTTGTTTCCAAACAAAAGGAAATATATCGGTATCGACATCAGCTATCGGCCAAAATGAGTTGAAAATATCAGCATATCGGATATCGGCAAAAATCCAATATCGTGCATCCCTAATTGGAACTGTCCTTGGTGTATCAGAAGTAATCATAACAGCCTAACTTGGTTTTGAACAGTTAAATGGTAAGGGTTATGTTTGAATAAACATTGTGTGTTACATGATGTACTAATAGTATATATGTAACAAAAACCTTTCTACGTGTACTGAATTAGGCTAACCGAGACTTGTCACAGCACTTACATATTATTGCCCTTTTCTTGGTTTGGATTGCTTCTATTTTCCTCATTTCTAAGTTGCTTTGGATAAAAGCGTCTGCTAAATGAATAAATGTAAATGTAATAGCTTACCTGCATTTGTCTAGTCCTGTTGGGGACTTTCAGTGCTTGGACAGAGCATGTCTGTTCATGCTAGCATGAAGACTTATGCCAGCACTTTTAAAAGAAGCCTGAATAAACCTCAGATGTTCATTATAACAATCCCTTCTTTGTATTGCAGGTGAACCTGAAAATGAGGGAGATCACAGAGAAGGAACACAAATCAAAGCAGCATCTGCTGGAATCTCCAAGTCATCAGAAGGTACCAGACATCCCAGCACAAGAGTTTCACACATAGATTGTAAAACACTCTGATTCTCAGGTGCTGTTTAGACCTGGTTTTTCCCATCTGTTTCCTGTAAATGGGGTTGTATGTGTCTAGAAAACATCATTCAAACTGCACTGGAGAAAAAAAAAGTAAATTTGTGCTTTTACAGAAAACTTTGTAATAATAATTAATTAACTATATATATATATATATATATATATATATATTAGGGTGCCCGAGGAGCAGGATCTCGTGAGAGATGAAGCCTGCAAGATGAGCAGCGTTCTGCCTACAATGTGGCTCGGGGCTCAGAACGGCTGGTGAGCGTCAAACCCTTGCAAGAGCGGAAAATAAACAGGGTTCGCACCATGTAGGGCTGCATGATTAACCGCAGTTACAATATAGGTTAGTGCACAAGGGCTGCTCTTTCATGTCAGCAGCGTCGGTTCACACAAACTCATCTCTGCTTGAGCTTATCAGGAAAAGAGAAGCTTTAAGGGCTCCATGTGGTTTTGCATGGAAATAAAAATTAGATAGTTTAAAATTTAAAAATGAAAAACAATATATACACTAAATATTAGTATTGTAAATTGACAGTTGTAATGTGAACGAAAATTATTATTATTATTATTATATTATTTTTATTTTTTATTTTACAGTGAAATATTTTCATAGTAATGTTTATTTTGTTTTTAGTAATTGTTTACTTTTTTATTTAGTAATATTACATTATGATATTTTTCTTAAAGTCTTTTTTATTTTACAGTGAAATATTTTAATAGTAATATTTCTTTTGTTTTTTTATCAATTGTTTACTTTTTTATTTAGTAATATTATATTAAGTAATAATATACATATAATAAATATACAATTTAGTTTTGTATATATTTTTATGTTATTATTACTATTTTTATATTTTTATATAATTATTAATAGACAACATAATAACGACAACAATAATAATTATTACTACTACTACTACTACTACTATTATTATTATTATTTTATAGCCATATTGATATATAATCACAAAATTTGTGCCAAACCTGGATTTATTTCTCAGTCGCATTTGAAATCAGTCACAATTTTTATCCCCCCAAAAAAATACCACAATTCGATATCCAATCGTACAGTCCTTGTCTTTAATTTTTACGTGTTCACCGAGAGACAGAATTGGCTGACCACTTGATGGGATCAAATGCAACAATTGTTAATATACCAGGTGTAAACAAGATCATAAACAGGTGTGAACTAAAATGGCAAGACTCACATCTGAATAGATGGTACTAATGTAACGGCAGCCTTATGGAAATGATCTAATATCTTCAGTGGCATCACTCCTTCTGTTTCCCTCTAACCTCATAGCAGGGTCACATCTGTCTGCTCTTTTCTTCCCTGACCTTACATCCTCTCTGCTCCTCTTCCCGTCTCTTTCCCTTTAACCTCCTCCCTTGCTACTGGGATAGTCTCCCTCAAAATGGTATTGGAAACTAGTACCTGTAAGTTGGCTGTGAGTGCTTCCTTTCCACTGCACGAGTAGTATGTGTCAATCCCAACGTACGCCATCACCACTCAAGCCACGCTTTTATCTAATCAGTGCACACTGGGAGAAGCTATTGTCCAGTGGCTCACGCTGTAATCACACAAAATGATCTGCCTTTCACCCTTTGAGCACATGCAGTTATGAGCAAACACATGCCGCTGAGAGTACGTGTGTGTGTGCGTCTGTGCAATTTTGAGTCTCTAACTTCAGCTCTCATCTTCTCATTTCTTGCAGTTATTTCCACCTTCATTTGTCTCTTCCTTGTTCTGTCTGTCTCTGACGTGTGGCCCTTCAGCCTGATCTTATGTTTGTACCGGCCCATTGCATGCTGGAGCCTGTTGGGGTTTCATGAATGGTACATAGATTCTCTGTCTCCATTCTGCTGCTTCTTTACCTTTAGATCTGCTTTCTAGCTTTCACTATGTCCTGTCTGAAACCTAGACTTGGTGACTGTTAGGACTGCACATTTGATTGAGTACATTTACAAGATAATGATTATGGCTGCCATAATTAAAGTGCAGAGGGCTTTTGTGTAGTGGTCGATCGATATATAGGCCAATGTTTGGCTTTTTATTTTTAATCCGATACCTTTTTCCCCTCTTTGTCCAATAAAGAGTTGGAAGCAGGACTTTTATTTTGACGGGGCCTAAACGTAGATGCATAGGAGCACCCATTCTCTGTCTACATTAGTTTACTACCATTGTTCTGTCTAGTCATACAAATTGAAGTGCTGTAATACTTTTTCTGTACATATACCTCTGTGCATGATGGTCTGTCCAAAGGATTCAAGCTGCGCTAATTGGATGCAGACAGGGGAGTTCAGCGCTCACTGTGTGACTTGCATGAGCAACAATTACCGTTAGCTAGCTTTTTTGAGAAAATACAATTCCTAGATACAAATGTACCAGATTCCTGAGTGCATTGTTGGTTACATTGTTTACTTCCTTATTTTTCATTTATGAAAAATGCACAATCAATAAGTTTCTATCTAAAGTATAAATGTTTATTTACAGATTTATTTTAATAAAGTTCAAATTATCTTTTCAAATTAGTTCATTTTAAATGATTTCTGATTGTTTTAGTAAATGTGTCATTTAAATTTAATTGCAGAAATTGTTATGCAGCTGTTATTTATCTGTCTTTAAATGAGATGTATATCGGTTTCTATCGGCCATCAAAAATCAGTCCACCACTACTTTTGCAAATTGCATGTCTTTTAGGTTTTTTATGCAGGTGTATTATGCAACCATGTTGCATACATTCATGAGAATGTAAAATTGTAGTCCTATATGTATCAACGGTTTCTCGCTCTGATTTTGTGATTCATATCCTTAGCTGTTGTTGAGTTGTGTGTTGTGGCTTATCACTGTTCTCCTGTGTTGTTGCTTAACGGAGCAGTTCACCCAAACATAAAAATTACCATCTTTACCATCTTTTAATCACCCTGATTTTGTTCCAAACCTGTATATTTTTGCTTTTTCTATAGAACACAAAAGCAGTAGTTGTGAAGAATGTTCAAGCAGCTCTTGACTGCACAACAAAAGTGAATGAGAACTGGGCCTGGACATTTTAGAGCTACAGTGGAGCAAATGGTTTTAGCAACTAACTAATTTTGATTTAGTACATAAGTTGTATTGACTTCTTATGATATTTTGTCCTTGACAGCTCTGGTCCCTATTCACTTTCATTTTTTTTTTTTTAAATGAGCAGCTTGAACATTCTGCTAAACATCTTTTTTTTGTCTTCCTTGGAATGATATGAGGATTAGTAAATACAGCTAATTTAGTTTTTTGGGTGAACTATTCCTTTAAGTTGTCTTAGTCTTATTCGCCTATGTCATAACCTAGTTTTATTAGATCAGCAAATATTTTCACAAATACAGCCTCAAGGATAAAATATATTCCTCTTGCAAAACTGTCTCTTGCCTACATGATGCCAGTGCCATTTACCAAAGGTTACTTTGTTGAATACAGCCTGTTGTAGATGGTTTTGACAGTTTGGCTTCCTCTCATGTCACCTACAGGTACGGTATCGGCGGGATCATGCCTCAGGTAGACAGCTGCCCTTCTTCCCCCTGCTGGAGGACCTCACCAGGGACGTGTGTGACGGTGCTGCACTGCTGACCGTGGTCCATTACTACTGCCCAGACCTGATGAAGCTTGATGGTAGAGTGAAATAACACTAGGGAAACTTGACTACTTAGCTAGTCTAAAGGAAGCCATGTGTGCAATCTCTTCACCGCTAGTAGCACCAAGATTAATCAGGTTTCCCAAACACTCATACTGCCTCCTTCACTCCACCCCTTACTCCCTCCTAAATGGCTTATTAACCCTTTGGGGTCGACAAACGCGGATACACGTTTTGTGGTATCTTCTCCTGATAACACCGAAAATAACTTAAATTACAGTTTCAGTTTTGATCTTACAGATAAGAGCAATACATCAATCGAATCTGTAGTGACTTTAAAATTGTAGTTTTTCACTAAGCACGCATAAACGTTGTTTTCTCAAAAACACAATCACATACATACATGCTGCCCACATATTATTGTAGCCCAGTTTGTGCTGATTATGGTGCTACTAAACTTGGCCATTAAAATGTTTATTAGCAACTGAAAAAAGCACAAATGTCAGGGCATGTCAAAACTTCTCCAGGGCCCCAAAACACCCTCGGACCCCAGAGGGTTACAAGTAGACCCACCCCAGTGTTACGCCATTGGTTCAGCCAGTTGTTGCTATGTCAGGCAGCTCAAACAAACAGAACATGTTTTGATGGCGCCACAGTGCTTACATTCTTTGGAAAATCATAAGAATGGTTTGCTTACAATTGTTTTCTGCACATTTAGCTGGGAAAGAAGAAAGAATTTTAACCCACTTGCCCTTTAAGCCGGATGCTGCACTTAATTTTAATCCTGTTAAGCCTGACATTTGACGTTTGAAATTGAACTTTTTTTTTTGAATCATTAAACAAAATATATTTTAAAAAATCTGTAGAAAAGTTTTCTTTTTTAATAGCTGAGCGCATCATATTTGATAAATCAGGCAGTTGTGGTTCATATAGTATAATGTAGAAGAATATGGAGTTTATACCTGAGGAGTAAAAAAAACAAAAAAACATGTAGTGGCTCAAAATGAGCAACAATATGCATTTTGGTGCAGTTGCTGATATTAATATGGCAAAATCTAAGATGAAATTAGGATAGATCTTTCTAACAGTATAGCAGACTACTTGCATAAAATGTGTAGACATATCAGTTGTCTCTCTGTATCTCCCAATAATATGTCTTAATAAGATGATATTAAAATGCTTAGTTTTACATTTACATTTATTCATTTAGCAGACGCTTTTATCCAAAACAGAGAAGAGAAGTGGTCCAAGTACTGAGCCCTGAGGCACCCCAGTAGCTAGATGTTGCGACTTGGACACCTCACCTCTCCAAGATACCTTGAAGGACCTATCTGAGAGGTAAGACTCAAACCACTGGCATGCGGTTCCTGGGATGCCATTTTCCAATAGGGTTGACAGGAGAATCTGGTTTTACCGTATCAAAAGCAGCAGACATATCTAGCAAAATAAGTATAGAAGATTTGGAAGCCGCTCTTGCCAGTCTTAGGGCTTCAACAACTGAAAGCAAGGCAGTCTCGGTCGAATGTCCACTTCTGAAGCCAGATTGGTTGCTGTCCAGGAGGTTGTTCTGTGTGAGAAAGGCTGAGACTTGGTTGAACACAACTCGTTCAAGTGTTGTGTGTTTTAGTTTTATGGTCAAAGCTCTGGTAGTGATATTTCAAGATGAACAACTACAATGTAAAAGTTATACTTATGTTTACTTTATAAAAATCAGTAAATATTTCAGAGTTCCACAACACTGATCAGGTTGATCATTTAGGGGCCTTAGAAATTTTCATAGCATATATAATACAGTAGGTTTTATATGGTTAATTTAGAGTTTTGCTGGTCTGCTTTCTTATACTTTTGATTGATTGTAGTTTTATTCCCTTGGTGCTTCACCGCACTTTGCCTCTTGAGCTAAGTGAATATTCTGTGAAAAGTTATTTTCTGATATTTCAACTCCCAAGCAAATACTGAGCTTGTTTGGATTCAGCCCTTGATTTAGCTTTTATGAATGTCAGAGCCTGTATGCCTCAGGATAGCTTATTTGCTAACTTTGTGTTTTCTGTTATCTGCAGATATCTGCTTGAAAGAGGTGACCTCAATAGCAGACAGCCTTTATAATATCCAGCTGCTGAAAGAGTTCACCAAGGAGTACCTTAACAAAAGCTTTTATTTGACTCTAGAGGACATGCTGTACGCACCTCCTGTGCTCAAGGTAAGTTATTCAGTCATGTATAATGTGTCTTCTCATTAACCGGATGTTTCATTTCCGTACGGGTTTGTTCTTAATTCTCTGTTTCTTCTGCAGCACAATGTCATGGTATTTATAGCAGAGCTCTTCTGGTGGTTTGAGATTGTCAAGCCTGAATTTGTCCAGCCGAGAGATGTTCAGGAATTTAAAGATGGTGAGGGGGTGGGGGCTTAAATAAAAAAAATAATAAATAAATAAAAAAAATGTGTGTGTTTTAAAGCCAATAAAGTTTACATGAAGCTTCAACCAACATCCTCATATTTTGCCTATTGTTTTGCTAATTTAACTTAATTAATATTTGTATTGTAGCAAGAGCAATGACTCAGCCCAAGAGTGCCAGGCCAATTGTACCCATCTCCAATGCCACCAAACGGAGCTTCCTAGTGTCTCCTGGTGTGGCTGATCCAGCGCTTCCTGTCCAGGACAGCCCGGAAGTTTGTAACAGGTACTTCCTGCACCCTGAAGAATCTGAGTCTCTGTAAGTGCTTCATGGTTTTGTCTCTTCCATATGTAGCTTTGAGTGTAAATGTCAGTGATGTTTGTCTATGTAAAAATATGCCTTGGACAGTCTAGATTTGTTTCTAAATAAACTTTCTAATAATTAATATTCCCTCTAATTTGTATTCTTGCTCAGTCAAACCTGTTTTCTACTGGGCAGACCCGTGGAAACACCCTGCACCAACCCATAAATGTTCCACTCTTGAAAAAACTAAATAAAAATAAAACATTTATGCAGAAGAGTTAATGCAGGGTGTTTCATTTTACAGAGTAACTGAAAACGGGAAAATTATATATTGCATAAATGTAGGCTGTCAGGATAATAGTTGTTTTTTAGGCATCTAGAGGCATTGCTGTTATTTTTCTATCATATTTTAAATCATAACTTTTGAGATTCTGTGATCTGTAGGGATGGGTCCAACACCCTACTTGTCAAATAGTGTGGTGAAGACTAGGTTTATATATTTGTTCATTTGTTTGTGCTTTAAAATGATGACAAAGGTGCATCTGTAGCTGCATCCCTTTTAAAGCACCGCTGCTACACATGCGGATCACATCACATTATACACTGGTTAATAGTAGTTTTGCACATTCCTAGTCATGATTTCAGCAATACGTGAACAAAAATAATAATGACCTCTGTGGGTTTTCATTTGCTTGAAAACTTTGTTTGCAGTTCAGAAGTTCACAGCCGTGCATGTATGCACATTAGAGGGAACTTTGCTTGCATGATTATGATTCACACCTGAATCATAGTGTCTCATAATGTCTTTGCTGTGTCATGTTGTGCCTGTGTCTTTCTGACATGCTGAGATGGGACTGTGCTGCCCTGCCTAAGTTAAAATATTTGTATTATGTTTATTGTGCTTACTCTTATTTCACTAGTAATTACTTGGACATAAAAGGCATTTTAATGTAGGGCTGCACAATTAATCAAATTTCTAATCGCGATTACAATTATGGATGCCACAATTATGTAATCGTTCAAAGTCCACTTGTTATTCTGCATGCTTAAGATATGTTTTTTTTCTTTCTACATGTTATCTTAAGGGTTTTTCCATTGTTTTAGTTTTAGTTTTTGTATAACATTATAATACCATTTATATTTTTACTTATTTTTTATAATTTAAAGAAGAAACCAATCCGATGTATATTTGACATTTGAGGCTTAATACTATAGAAAAGCACTAAAGGTAATTGTGATAATCGTAATTAATAATCGCAATTACAATTTCAAGGGATTAATCGACAATTATGATTTTTGTCATAATCACGCAGCCCTAAATGGCATGCTAGTGCCTTTAATACTGTTCTGTAATTGTAGTATTCAGACTCTTTGAAGTTATTTTTTTTAAGGTCCTAAACAGAGCAGTGCTGCTTGTCTATATTTGTCCATCCACATGGAAAATGCTTAATGTCAGTTACGATTAGATTTTGGCTGGATAGACCTTTGGGGGCCTGAAGATCATTCAGATTCTAATTTTTTGTGCTGGTGGTTTGCCAACTGTACTCTCTGCTTGCTGTTCCAGTAATAAGGGGAGTTCCAGCTTCAGCCCCTCCCACCCACTTCTGCCACTGAGACAAAGACAGAAGAAGGCACAGCCAGGAGAGGAAAGCACGGGTATGGCATTAATATTCTGCTGCCATTCATATGAAAATATTAGTTTTTATGCTCACATGGAAGGGGTACCCAGAAATGTTGAGTCTCAGAGATTAAATAGTATTATTATTTTTTTATTGTTGTAATCTGAGCTTTCACAAAAAAGTGTGAAGTTTACAAAATATAAAATTTTCCTTGCAGTTGCATTAGAATATAACTTGAATGTAGTAGAGTCAGGTAATCAAATTCTTGTGTTTTTCTTACCAGTCTGCCGAAATCGTTCCAATTCTTTTACACAAGAAGGTCACTCCAGAGGATCAGTGGCTTGGTCAGATAAACGGCAGAGGTACAACACTATTAATAATTCTGGGTACTTAAAACATGTCTTTTAAGATATTACATTAAATCTATATTCTGTTTAGTCCTGCTTCTCTTATTATTATTATTATTATTATAATCAGGCCACTGTCTCAGCTGAATCGGTATGTTCTCCACTCTGCTACGGACAGTGATGCAGACTTGGCCTCAGGCGACAGCGTTAGTCTGACTTGCTCCATCAGTGAGGACAGTCTGGCCTCCACTGTCACGCCCAAGCACCAGATCCATCCAGGTCAAGGCAATGTTAGGCGGGTCAATGGCCACGTTCTGCTGGGCAACGTTAACATGGATGAGGAAGATGAGACGGTAACTATTGCCAGGGCAGATTCATCTACGAATGACACCACCCTGTTAAACTCTGAGGATGCAGAGCGACAGAGTGCTACCCCTGGTGCTAAAACAGGCATTTGGGGAAGACAGGAGGATAAATCCTCAGATTCCAAAACAGCCAGTTTCTTCCTGGAACCTCTGATGCCTGCGGTTCTCAGACCAGCGAAAGAGAAGTCGATATGCCTAAATAAGGAAGAAGAGTCGGGAGAGGGACGGCAGCGAGGGTCCGCACGGAGAGTAGCAGGAGCAGAAGGTGCTGTTTCATCTTCCAGACGGAGACCTCCATCCACCCTTAATCGGACTTTTACCCCCAGCGCTAGCTCTGAGTTTGAGACAGTTATTGAGCCTAAATCCAGTGAATTTGTACCTCCAGCCCCTGGGCAGACGCAATCTTTCAGACCATTGGCAACAAGTAGTGTTGAGCCATCTTCTACTGAGCGGTCAACTGGGTTTTACCTTCATTCATTGGTGCCTGAGGACAAGAGGCCTGTCCAAGCATGGGGCATCCATCCAGGGTCTGATATAGAGACTGTTGAGACCATTGAGGAACAGGATGCAGAACTCACCAAAGAGCTCCATCCAAACAAGAAACCATTCAGTGAAGAGGACGAAGAGTCAGCCAAGCTGCGGGAGGACATGAATGTAAAGGAACATGAGGATAAGAATGGTGGGAGCAGGTGCTCTAGCCCTGGTCAGTCCCAGGTTAGCAGTGTAGCTAGCGGCAGTGTGCGCATGACCAGTTTTGCAGAACGAAAGATGCAGAGGTTTGGTAGCAATCAAGATATCCGCTCCAGCACAAGCAGCTCGCAGCGAACCACACCAGATGGCTCAGAGAGTTGCCCGCTTCCTCTAACCTCCTGGAGGATGAAAAGAGACCAGAGCCCCACACCACAGAACAAGGACAGTGCCAACATGCTGGCCTCTGAACTCGTTCAACTCCACATGCAACTTGAAGAAAAGCGACGTGCAATTGAATCTCAAAAGAAGAAGATGGAGGTCATGACAGCAAGACAAAGGCTTAAGCTTGGAAAAGCAGCTTTTCTGCACATAGTAAAGAAAGGGAAGAGTGACATTCTCCCTCAGCCTACAAAGTCGGAGTACTACTTGAAAGATGGCCATAAACTCAGTCAAGAAAAAGAGAAGTTGTCAAAAGACGACACCTGTGCTGCTGCACTGAGAGATGGGCCGAAAGAGGCTGAAGAGCCCGAGAAGGCATCTCTCGAGTGGGCAGGTGGGGTTACTGTGTCTCCTAGTGCCTTAGATGTGGATGAGGAGATAGATCTTAATGAATGCAACCGCTCCATTGAGTTGCTGAATGAGGCCATAGGAAGCATTCAGCAGCAGATGATGCAGCTTTCGCTCCAGCAGGAAATGCTTATGAAGCAAAATCTTCAGTCTCCAACAGGTGCTGCTCCACCACCTAGCAGTGACCAAAGTAATGCATCTGAACCTAGGGTCAGAGCTTCCATACATTTTGTTGAACCAAGTGGCAGCCCTGTGGTACGAAAGCCACCCAAACTAAGTTCAGCACGATCTCGCTCCAAACCTTCAGAGCTGTTGCTAGTTAAGGAGCATGGCAAAGGGCAGAAAAGCTCCACTCCTACACCTACTGACAGCCCCTCTGCCAAGTCCATTCAAGGGGGCAGGACCCCCAAAGCAGAGCCTGAAGACTTTGTGCAAAGCTCCGCACAATCAGACTCATTCAACAAAGACAAAGGGAACTCAAAAAGCACTACATTCCACCTTAATGATGAAGCTAACTTGAGGATGGTCTCAAGGGAACCAAGTTCTGTGGCCCTTGGTGTCACTTTCGAAGAATCTATGTCCAGTACTTTGCAGGATGCTGAGGCTACATTTGATGATGGGCCAGCAAGGGATAATGTCTCCTCAGAGGATATTTCTAGAGGAAAAGTTAATCTTATTGAGGTAGACTTGTCTGATTTGGCTGCCAACCCAGATGAAGAAAGCACCAATGTATTGGAAGTCACCACTGATGGAAGTGATGGAGAAAAGATGTCTGGCATGGGCTTCTTTTTCAAGGTAAATTGAATGCAGTGGACGAGACATTATCAAGTCATTTGTCTGAAAGAAAATGGATTGTATTGGATTTATTTTATGTATTTACATTTTATTAGTGGCATCACTGCTGTTCATACTTGGGCTTAGAGGTTTAAAAAAAATCGCTGGCAAAGTATTAAACTATGGCACTTAATCTTTCCCACCTCCACTTTGTGGCCAAGAAAACCCCACTAAGCAACACCCTAGTAACTACAAAAAAAAAAAAAAAACACTGAGCGCTGAAAATGTGAATGTTTTAGTGGTTTGACTTTTCCTACTAGTTTTGTTGTTTTATTTCTGCAGGATGAGCAAAAAGAAGAGGATGAAATGGCCAAAAAGCGAGCAGCGTTTCTGCTAAAACAACAGAGGAAGGCAGAGGAGGCTCGGCTCCGCAAGCAACAGATGGAGGCTGAAAGTGAGCTGAAAAGAGATGAAGCCAGGTACTGGCAACCTTTGAAGGGTCATCTTCCATGAATATAACTATGATAAAGAGATGCGTTGTAACTTTTTTTTTTTTCATTGAGTTTGTATATGTTAAAGCCTCTTTTCTTTTCCAATTCCAGGAGGAAAGCTGAAGAGGAAAGACTCAGAAAAGAGGATGAGAAGGCCAGGAGAGAGTTGATAAAGCAGGAATACCTTAGAAGAAAACAGCAAGAGATGTGCGAGGAGCAAGAACAGCCCAAGCCCAAACCCAAGACCAAGCCCAAAAAACAAAGGCTGAAGTCTGTGCTGAAGGAAGAACCCCCAGTTGAAACGCTTCCCAAATGTCCTGCTGCCAGTAAGTATTAAACTGTGCCTTCTGTTGTTGCATTATTACTGAGGTAATGGCAGAAATGTTTGATGGCACTTCAAACATTTATAAAACTGAAATAATGAAACCATGTGCCTCACCAGATGAGAATCTCATCAGTGCCCAGTCTGGCTCTAGTCTATCACTGGCCTCTGTGGCCACCACTGAACCAGACAGTGTCAACTCAGGAGGGGCGGGATCTCAACGGTAAGTCCTTCCCATGTCCTACAGGCTGTGTTCAGAAGCGTGCCTGCATTTCATTAATTTGTTTCAGAATCAATCGACTGTATTCAGACTGTGACCTCCAAAGCACTTTGTTGCTGTTTGTTCTTTCCATTAACAGAGGGGAATCGGTAGAGTCATTTCCAGGCCTCAGTCGCAATTCCAGTCGTACTACAGAGAGAGACTGGGACAACGGTTCCACCGCATCTTCCATTACATCAACTTCCATGGCGGAATATACTGGTGAGTTTTCACTTTCCGTTCTATAGGACGAAAGTGGTTTTATATTTGTTTTGATGCTCAATAAGTGTGGGTACCGCATGCTGGTCTGGACTACTAAATTATTTATACTGTTTTAGATTCCTCTGCACCAGGACAACCTCCTGTGTTAAAAACAGCAGCATGCTTATGTGATCTCGACCATGCATCAGCCAATATGTTTGTCTGTGTGCTTGAGTACATAAGCACGCATCAGTTTTTGTTTGGGCAGATATTAGTGGATGAATTTGTCCTTTGAGCCCAAACTCTCTAAAGTGTTTCACTTGTTTGCTTTTAAGTTATAGCTAACATGTTGACTAATACGTTTTACAGGGCAAATACTTTGTTTTGTTCTATTGCTTGAATACATGCATTGCCTTGCTCTAAAGATGAAGTATGCATTGCACAATTAAAATTTGTATAATAATCCTCCATAAATTGAAATTAGAACTATCTTTTTAAGCTATGTATTAAAAATGAGTTCAAAAATACTTGCAAAAGCTCCAGTATGCATCAGTGAGAGCTGTATAGGGCTCCGAGAGGGACACCATGTCCTAACCAGGTGAAACAACAAATTGACAAGCGATAAATCCAAGGGGGGGAAAAAATTGTTTTTGCCCTAACCAGCCATGACAGCAAGGCAACATTTTATTGGTCAGTTGTTTTCTATTTGTCACACTTGGTAGCCCCGCCCACATTGAAATCCCATTGGTCCAAATTCCTGCTCCATGTGGTTTCATTTTAAACATCAAATATGTTCTGATAAGATTTTTTTTTTTTTTTTCATATCGCACAGCATTTTCACTTTTACGGTGAAGAGAAGAAATCTTTTTTTAGCAACAAATCATAATATTAGAATGATTTCTATAAGATCATGTGACGCTGAAGACTGGAGTAATGGCTGCTGAAAATTCAAAAAGAGCTTTATATAATAAAAATAAACTCATACTTTAGAAATGAAAAGTACTTCACCTTGTTTGATTTTTCTTTTTCTTTTATTTGGTAAATTGTTTATTTAGTAAAAGCACGCTCAACTTTTAGATTAACTGCCCCCAACTGATTGCTATTAAATAGGTGCAATTAAACTTTAAATAAGGTGTTTTTGGATTGTTTTAAAATCTCATGTAATTGTTTTACTTCAATCAGTTTATAATATCTAAATATTTTATATTGAAATATTCTATTCATAATAAATTGCATTTACTTCCATTTAATTTTGTAGGATACTATTAATACTAGTTATAATTGTTTAAATTTGCTCGCTTATTATACTGCATTGCAAACTGAACATCAGCTACTGTTAGTGCTGACTAAGTAGTTTAAATTATACACCGCTGGTTCTGATCAGTGTCCGATCATTTGGAGTTAGAAAAATATAATACGTGCTGTTGCATTCTCAATATTAAGTATTTTTGCCTCAGATTAAGGATTATGTGCATTCGCTTTAAGAAGCAGGTTGTTCATTACCACGACAACCGCTTGCGCGTCCACGTTGAATGCGATTCTTGTGTGCAAAAATTAACTGTACATATAAGCGTACAGGCAGAAGGATGCCAATAACTACATTATTTAAGGCTATTTCTATTCGTTACGACATTGATACATGAACTGCTGTAATCAAGTAAGCTTAATTCGTAATGATTCCTCTCTTGTGAGCCTGTGCGCTCTTCTAAACTGGGTGCTGCACTGCTCTCATGGTTGACTACTGCACCTTTGTTCCGACAATATCAAGTTATTAACAACACTTTAGAAAACTGAATTCTTTGTGGATCCTCCTGATCTGTTTGTCCATCTTTCTCCATCTTTCTTTAACAAATGGCAGCATCTCAGTCTCACGTGCGCTGCATGTGAGTTAACCACGCTCACTTATTTACGTATCGCGGTATACACAGAATAAAAAAAATCTGTCACGGTTGACATTTTATACCGCGGTAATGATATATACCATCACACTGCCCAGCCCTACCGAACAGTAGTGCATATGTGAAAAATTGATAATGGATCATCATAAAAAAAAAATTTAATATTCCATGACCTTTTAGGACATCCAAACTTCTCATAAGTTTTGCAGGTAAAGCAAAAAATTATTTTTTTTACTTTTTAACTGTTTTTGTATTAATATTTTGTCACTGTAGGACCCAAGCTTTTCAGGGAGCCAAGTGCAAAGTCCAACAAGCCGATAATCCACAACGCCATCTCTCATTGCTGCTTAGCGGGGAAAGTAAATGAACCGCAGAAGAACTCCATTCTTGAGGTATGTGACCAGTTTGCAGGTTCATGGCATGCAAATAGTATGCTGTGATGTTACCAATAAATCTTGATACTGAATTACTAAATATTTGCTTCCCTTTTTACTGGTAGGAGCTGGAGAAGTGTGAATCCAACCACTTGATGATTCTCTTCCGGGACAGTGGCTGCCAGTTCAGAGCCCTTTACTCCTATTTCCCCGACACAGAGGACATCCACAAGCTCACCGGCACAGGGCCCAAGAGCATCACTAAGAAGATGATCGACAAACTCTACAAGTACAGCTCGGACCGTAAGCAGTTCACGGTAATCCCTGCCAAGACTGTGTCTGTTAGTGTAGATGCGCTGACTATCCATAACCACCTGTGGCAAGTCAAAAGACCCGGCGGGCCAAAAAAGAGCGGAAAGTGAAGTCTAATGGCACTCGTAAGACATGCACTTTTGCATTGAGGCCTGCAGACACTTACCTGCTTCCATCAGAGTTTGGATGGAAGCGGCTCGCTGGACAAACAAACAGGCATGAATCAACATGCACTTCATTTGAATGTGTTTTGGGTTGAAGTAGTCCTTTACCCACAATCCTGTGGTCTTTTTACAAGATTAATTTTTTGTTACTTGAATTATTTATTAGTTTGGCACTGATTAGCTCGTTTAAATGAAACACTACCCCATGATTGTTTTTGTTTGATTTGTTTCCTCCTTTTTTGCGAGGGATACGCATTTTATTCTTACTGTCTTCAAAACATGTCTGCTGCCTCTGAGGACTGCCAGAACTCAAATTAATGTAAAAAAAAAAAAATAGCTGACTTGCCTCTCAACAAAACTTTTTTTTTTTTCCTCCTCCAAAACATGCTGCTCCTCTGTTGTCGCTGGGACAGTCCCAGGTCTGCATACTTTTGGCCTTCATGCATTGTGGTACTCTGTCTGTTTATTCAGCGCTTTAAAAAAGCAGCTCGGCTGTAGCCCGTTTTTTGGAGACTCTATGGTCCTTTCGATAGGGAGTCAAACAGACCTTGATGTGTGTCATATGCAGTTCTCTTCTCTTCTGTTCTACTCTGTAGCGACCTCTCTACTGGACGCTCTGTACTATGGTGCACTTATGATCATGTTTTAGTGCTTTTATTATCATGCAATGTAACCATGTTGATGTTGGCACTGGAGCTTTTTCTCATGCAGAAGAGCAGCATGCTCTGTTATGAAGAGTGTCGCTGTAAACGATTTGAATGACGGTATTTAATATATTCATAATCGGTTACTTCCCTTGCAGTCGCTGTCTAATTATTTACCACCGTTGAAAACATTCCTCAGCAAAAGAAGGGTCAACACTGCCGACATCCTTGTTTAAATGTTCGAGAACACTCATAAAAGCCTCGTGTTTGGTGTCAAGATCAATTGAGTGTTGCACATGCACTTTATTTTTTTGCTCATGAAGGTGTACAGCAGGGGTAGAATTTCAAAGGGCTTACTAAACCATTTTTGCTCCTAAAACTAGTTGTCGAAAGGTGAAGGTACTCTGTTGTACACCGAGAAACATCTCTCAAACACTATTAACACCGAAAAGAGCACACTGACAGCCCCTTAATGACTTTTAAACTACTGTTTCCAAATAATTGATGTTAGACTTGTCTATACGTCGCAGCATTGTTTAATTTTAAATTGCAGTTTTGTATATTATGTGTGTTTTTATATCTATAACTGAAAGATTGTATTGATGTTGATCACCTGTTTTGTTTTTTTGTTTTAAACACTACTATTCATTCTTGGTCATTTTGCTTCCTTTACCATACTATTATTTATTTTAAATAAGACTGAGAATTAATAAATTTTTCAAGTCAATAAATTCATTCTCAATTTTTTCCCCCCCATTTATTGACATTGTCATCTTTCTTTCACTTTATTTTATAACACCTCTTGCATTTTTCAGTAAGTGAGCTTGCATAATAATAATGAATATTAGTAACAAGTGTTGAGCATTGTACAAAATTGAATTTACATGAATTTTCATGTCATCAATTGATAAACTTATATATCAATAGCTTTACTGTTGTGATTGCAAGAAAAGATAGTAGTTTAATTATGTGTGGTCTCCTGATGGGCATCCCAACTTCTGTCAACTGGAACACCACAGGCTGTGCCTCATCGACAAGCACTGTATCCTTGACAGTCCACTGAAGACACATTTGTATCCTGGCAACTGGAAGTTTATCCTCAGCGGGGGGCTCTACAAGTCAGGCATTCGTTGGATGGATGGTCATTTGACAGGAACTCTGAATACCTTGTTATTTGATGTTTGTCAATATGCGCGGTGAGTATTTTTGCACTCTGATTTGATGTTGGCTTCAAAATCAAGTGAATTGTGATGTAAAAGAATGTTTCTTTTTTCCACCTAGCTCTTTTTATTTTTGTGGTGTTCCAGCGCATACGTGAGGCATGGTTTCAGTCCTGTATATACACAGAAACGGACTATGTTTGCAAAGAGATACCAAAAGGTAGGATGGTCTGAAGACACTTAATGCTCATAAAAAGAATGTGCTTGTTATCTGCCAGAGAAGTGGGTCAGATAAATGTCAGCTATATGCAGTTAACCAATAAAAATCGGGATTATAATAATTTTGGATAATTGCATTTTAGATGAATAAGTAGAGTTCACTCAAAAAAGAAAGTTGTCACAGTTTATCCAATTTCATGTCGTTCCAACTCAGGACTTAATAAAAGATGTTTTGAACAATGTTATTGCTGCACTTTTACAAACAGTGAAAGTGAATGGTGACAAGTGGATGTCAAGCTCCTGAAAGGACAAAAAATGTAACGGTGATCCATACAACTCGTGCACTATATTCCAAGTCTTCTGACGCTATACTGCTTTATGTGCAAAACTGACTTAAATTTAAGTTATTCACTGGAAATCTTTGCCTGAGCCCTGGTCACCATTGACTTTCATTATTTAGAACAGTGTAGCTTGGACATTCTGCCCGACATCTCCTTTTGTGTTCTACAGAAGAAAGTCATAAAGGTTTCGAAAGGTGTGCTGATGAGTAAATTACTTTTAGATGAACTGTCCCTTTTTTCCCTTCTAGATTATCCTGCTGGCTTGACCTCTGTGATTATCTTTGTGAGTGGTTTAGGAGAAATCGGCTTGTCTATGTTTAACAGCACCAATCTGACCTCTGTGAACAGTCTGACTATGGCATACCAAGGCATCACAGCAATAGGACCGCAGACCTTCGATAAGTTTCAAAACCTCAAAACTCTCAATTTGGACAATAATCATCTCTCCCAAGTCTCGTCAGACTGGTTCAGCCATCAGGTTACACTTGAGACACTCAGACTCTCAAATAATAAAATCACTACACTGGATCATAATTCTCTTGATGGGCTGTCAAACCTGCTCAACCTAGACTTGTCTCAGAACCAGATTCACACTATAACCCCAAGCAGTCTTCTCGGTCTCAGTAAACTGAGGCAGTTAGGCCTTACCAACAACAAACTGACACATTTGAGTATGGATGCGTTTCTTGCACTTAACGGCACAAAGATCCATTTGGATGGAAATCCTTGGGACTGCTCCTGCTCTGTGAATGACTTTGCCAAATACCTGAGAGGTATGCATTCATTTCCATCTTGTACATTTCATCTGATGCTACTGAAATATTCAATATTATGGTTTTACTGTATATTCTTCTTTCAAAAACATTAAAAAATCTTACCAACTCCAAACTGTACATTAATAATGTACATAAAGGCTTATGATAGATCATCTTCATTTTTTGGGTGAATGTTAAGTGACTTTCATAAATGCATGCAGGTCTGCAGAATGCTTCTCTTCTGGAGAACAAGATGCTGGTGTGCTGTAATAGCCCTCCTCATTTGAAAGGTGTCCCAGTATGGCAGGTACCAGAGTGTAAAACCCTCACAACCATGAGCCCTACCACTACAAGTCTTACCACTGTGAGCCTGACCACTGGAAGTCCTGGCACCGGGAACCCTGCCACTGTATTAATAACCAAACCTCTTCGAATCGGACCCTCAACTTTAATCATTTTAATTGGTAGGTGGAACTAATTCATTGCCTAAATTCAGCCCTCATGTCCAGGAGCTTGTGTTGTGGAAGACTAACCTTTTATTATGTAACCAGTGGTACTGTGTGCCCTGGTGCTTGTCATCTGTGTCCTTTCAGTATTGTATCACAGGAAACGAGAGAGAAAACATCTACAGGCTGTAAAACCTGCTTCAGAGAAATCAGAAATGATACGAACCAGTGAATCAACTGCAAAGAGCAATGGAGAAGAAAACAGAAAAATTAAATCTGAAATTGCTAATAAAACACAAATTGCCACAACAGAGGTGTTACTGAGGACAAACCAAATTATGGTTGGAGATGAGAAGACATCACAGATTTACCATATTTATTCGTCAGGGACATATGAAACCAGAGAACCTATTAAACGAGTGAGATCTGCCGGGCCGGTCCTGTGCAGGATGGAGATGTTTTCTAAACCGACAGAAGCAGAAGTGACCACTGAAGAAGATGGGGTAAGGAATGATGAGTATTACAATGGATGGATGACCTCAGAAAAAGAAAAGGACAATGTATGTGCCAATACTGAGGAGGTGGAAGATGGAAAAAACTTTGCAGATGAGGAGAATGATGGATTCATTGATGAGGTCAGTAACACCACAGACACTGTGAAATTACACAAGGAACTTAGAGAGAAAAAAGAAGATACTGATGTGAGTGTTCAAGCCGGAACAAGTGTTGACCAAGACGTTCTTCAGCATAGTGTGGAGAATGATGTGTTGGATCCCCTGAATGAGTTGACCGTTGAAGCAGGAAGCAGTCAAGATACTCTCCAGGTAAAACATGTCACATCCCAGTCTGAGGGGACTGCTGAAAACCTGCCGTACCTCTCGATCGGTGCTGATCCGGAAAACCAGACCTCTAGGGTTGATCAGAATACTGCTAAAGGAACATCTGGACCTTCAAGACCCATTTGGCGGGTACTGACCTGGCCTCCGACTGCGGCCCAGTGGAAGAAGCAGTGGGCTCAAAATCAACAAGTGCTTAATGTGTTCCCTCAACTAATATTTGTAACCGGCTGCAGGCATGACATCAGACCATTTCATCCTATCATTTCTCCTGCAATCCTTCCAACCGCTCCACAGTTCAATGCACGGGAGTTTCTGCCAGAAATAACATCCCCAATAGAAGATGTCCGAGTCACTATTGATGAGGACACTTACAGGGCAAGTCTTGAGTCATCCAATCATAAAGTTCTACATTTCAGTGCACAGGAATGCTTCTCTGATTCTAATATATCACCAAGGGAGGATGGAAGAATTAATACAAATGGGGAAACTTGGAGGTCAGGTCTCGAGTCGACCATCTTTTCTGATTTTCGAGACCTGTCCTCCAAGAACTCCCAAATTGATGAAAGTGAAGTCTGCTCTGAATTGTTCAGCATTTGTAATCCATCATTTGGTGGCAGCAAGTCAAAGCCTGCTGCTGGAGAGGAGATAAACAACAAAGATGATAAGAAAACACAGAGCATGAAAATAAAGACGCACAGAGTTCACCAAAGTGAGCAGGTTGCATCAGAATTGCAGAAGCAGTCCAGGAGAGTGGAGAAAGCTGCACGGAGAGCTCACAGAGACCGGCGGCAGGGTCAGATGTGTGACGGCTCTGACTTAAGAGCACCCCCTTCGGGAGGTTCTCCAAAAGATGACAGCCTGTTGCTGGGGAACGAGTATACCTTTATTGACCTGCTACATGAGGTGGTGGAAAATCATGGGCGCTGGACTCGAGAAAGGTGGAGAGAAACACAAAAAAACAAACACAAGCTCAAACAGAGTCATTAGGTACCGGAAGTATGTTACAAATTATATGTATGTGTGTTTGTATGTGTGTGTGTTTAATTGTTTGTGTGAGTGTGTGTTGTGGTGTCTGTGCCACAAATGTAAAAAGAAAATGTATTTAAAATATAAAAACAAAAATGAAAGATTATTAAATAGATCTCAAAATAATCAGTTCTTCAGCTCTGTGAAACCTACAAAACACTGTAAAATATGCAACATATGATAATGAATATGGTATGTAAAAATGCACCTGGTATGTACAGTATTTTCTATAACACTAGTACAGACATTTGGTTTCACAATTGACAGATTTTACTGCATTATTAAATGCTAAATAAAATGTGTGAATCTATACATCAACAGAGTCAACGTATCTATTGGTAGGAAAATACTGCCACATTTCTCTGGCTGCATGCAGCATTTATTGATTCATTCTTACATGTTAGTACAGACTTCATTTAAGAAATGTTACAAAATGTATAAGTTCATGTATTAAGCACAATCCAAAAACAGGAGCCAGCAACTGTAAACATGGGTCTCTGACACATTTGTCAAGATAAGGACATGCATGGTCCATGTTTTTCTAAAACTACTGGACAAATAACAAAGAAATTTAGTAAATTACAGCAGCTTTGATCAGCTTATCAAGATATAGGATTTAAATCTTAGGGAACTAGTACAAATAGAAGAATCTGCAGGCTGATATTTTTAACATGCACATTATGCATATCCTTTCCAATTATGGCTGGAGATTTAGGAAAACGTTAAATAATAAAAACATTCCCAAAGCAATCTGCATGAGAAAACAGTGACTGATGGACAATGTAGGTGACAATATCTTTACGCAAGCAAAAAACATGAATGTAGTTTGATGAATTGT